ACAACCATACATACATACATACATACATACATACATACATACATGCGTACGTATATACACACGCACAAAAACACATGCAAATCTACCTGGACATATACATATGCATATACATAGACATATACCAAGACATATACATATACATATACAATGTACATACATACATACATACATATACATATACATACATACATACATACATACATACATACGTACGTACATACGTACGTACATGCGAACATGCACACGCACGTAGCATACATGTCAAGCACATATCTTCATCCGTCGATCCATCAATCCATCCAGCCAGCCATTTATCTACCCGTCCATATTGGCTTAGTTCTCTTGCACGCACCGAGACTAACTTTAACTATTGAGATACATCCATGCTCACCGGATGATGACATAATAAATTCAGTCCGTTCTGACTGAGCAGCTGCCGGTCAAAACAGCTTGCATGACGGGTCCAAGACCAGAAAACCATTGGCATAGCGCAAATCGGACATAATGATGACTCTGAAACCTAAGACCCCTAACCCTAACTCCCGGAACTACCCTGAACCCTGAACCTTGCGGCCGGGAAGTCGCAGGAATCCAAGCAACAACTACCCGAAGAACTAAGGCCATGTGGCTGTTGCTGCGTTGCCAAGGAGAAGGAGCCGTTCGAATACGCCATTGCCAAACTCGGAGGATGTTGGACCGACAACTCGACTATTGACCACGAGACTCTAAACCTTAAGCCAGCCCCTAAACCCTTATAAACCCTAAAATCCTAAAAATCCGGGCGCTCCCACAAAACAAGCCCTAATCTTACTTTCGGCAAGCAGAGGACGCAGGGGACTTACATTCAAAGGCCTAAACCACTTTTGCGAGGATTAGCCTTTCCCAAACATGGCTCAGACCGATCTGGTTTGGCGTGTCGGGGATGGGTGTTAGTTTGATTTTGAACCAGCCATGGAAGCCCATTATGTGGAACCTACGAAGGCAGCGCTATTAAGGTATTGCCCCATGTTAAACCCTAATTAAACCCCAAACTCTGAGTCTGTTTTTGCTTAATTTTCGAGATTGAACCGCGATTTCTCGCGATTCCAGGGCTTCCAAGCTGTGGGATGACGATGTCAACGAAACCGGCATTACGCTGTGTTTGCTGGTATTACTATTACTATAGTTCTTGTACGGGGTTTTGTTCCGCTTGGGGGACTAGGGTTTCGTGGTACAGGGGATCATGGCCGAGGGACTTCGCGATGCCGGATCGAAAGTAAATATCCGATGCGAGTGGGCACGGCTCATGCACCCCAAACCCTACAAGGAGTTTAGGGTATCCTATTGATTGAGAGTCTGTAGACCACAGGGGTCTTCCCTCGATGAGCAAACAACCGATGCATGCAGAGTTTCCTGCACAATGCCGGCAAGCAATAGCAACAACAGCAACAACAACAGAACATCGACAAGAAGACCTGCTGCTCTACTCAAATGGTCCGTTTAACTAACCCTATATCTATAAACCCCGCAACTTTCGGCGGCTCGGATATATACAAACCCTTGCAAAGCCTCTTCTAAATGCCGTATACAGCCAGAAGAGCCCCTAAACCCTAAACCCCAAACCTGCAAACGAACGCCCCTTTGCACATGGTAGTTGTCTACACTGGGATGGTTTTTTGGGTCCCCCAAAAGAAGTACGGCACCCTAAACGGCCAACTAAATTTAGAGAACTGCCCATAAAGAACCTTTATGGTACTCTAGAAACCCTTATCGATCCCTTTAAGGAACCCTAAAGGGGACCCACATCGAAGAGGCCTGAAGATGGGGTTGCATGCGCTCGGCTCCTTCGTCCGAATCTCGGTTTTCAGCCCTCAGCCCAAAACCTTCACCCACCGGCTTAGGTCCAAACAACGACTTCAGGCTGTAGAAGCAAGAACCCCCCTGAACTTCAAACAAACTAGACAAAAGTAAATAAATCCGAACAAGAACGTAAGAAACAACAACCCGCCTAAGCGGCCCTACACCCTAAACAAAAAAACAACCAAGCGCCTAAACCTTTTCAAGCTAGAGGTTCAACATGGATGTCGTTGCACAGGGCTGTCTAAAGGTCTAGGGGCTTAGGGTTTCAGGGTCCTCGGCAGGTTCCTTGCTGGGATGCCTTAAACGATCTATCTAGCAGGGTTTAAAGGTGACGGAAGAAACTGTTGAGCATCGGGTTCAGAATTTACACCAGGCCCCTTTCAAACCCCCCTAAGCCCCAGCAAGACCCGAGAAGACAAACGAAACTTGGAGGTCGCAGTAGTGTTTAGGCGTTTAGGCTTTTCTATGCTTCAAACAGCTTAAGCTGAGATCAAGCCGAAATCCAAAGCTGCAAAGGTAAAACAACACACAGGCAGAAGCTTTGCCGACATTTTCTGGGTTACTGTTGTTTATCTGTGGAGGATTTCTGGGCTGTCACGTTCATAGCGGTTCATAGTTCATACTTTCGCAGTACATAAAGCTGTTCATACTTTTGCGACGTCCAATTGTTTGATGTCTGCCCCTTACCATCCTTACACTTGTGATCAAAGGCATCTGGGCCATGCTGCTTCTTGATTCCTGTTATTTCCCTTGAGTACGTAAATAGGCACTTGTCACGACTTGCCAAGGCAGGCCACCCCCCTGCCATATGCCTCACAACACAGAATCAATTAACCCCATCCCCCATCAATGAACCCTGAATCGCTAGCCGCTAACACCTCATATCCCAGCAGATGGATTTATGTCCGAGGTTCGTTCGACTAAGCCCCCAAACCCCGAAACCCTAGGGCCCTAGTAAGCCTACTCCACCGGCTCCTTGCATCCTGGGAAGGTCACCAGCAAGTCTCCCTCCTGGAAGGCATCGCAGCCCATGAAGTGAGCATTCATCGCCTGAGCTTTCGCAGCAGCGTTCAGGGGGTGTTTTCGTGGTATAGAAAGATGGTTCCAGCACGCATCGCATAGCTATGCATAACTTACTGGAACTACAACTATGCCTGAAGTGGTGCTGCTGCTATTGCACCCGCTACTGCTACTGCTACGACTGCTGCTGCTACTACCACTACTGCTGCTACTACTACTACTACTACTACCACTACCGACGACTATTCTACCCGCAAGGCCGCATGTCAGCCCTGGGCCTTGCTTGGATGGGTACAAAGGGGCTGACGGAATCTCATCTGGTGTGTAAGATTCCCAGCCAGAAACCTTGGAACACCGAGCCTTGCATTCTAAGCCGGTGACACTCGACATATGCCGATAGTTCCAGAAGTTCTTGCTAGGTTCATCTCTCATCTGTTCAAAAGCCCGGATCCATTCTTTGTGTCTCCGCCGCGTGCACCGTCGTGAGTCAGGGCAGGTGCCCAGTGCACGAGATGCATCTGACCAGGTTGCTTCTTCTGATGAGCACGAAGCGATCACGGTGTTGGGTTCCGGGTTTACAGCTTCGGGCTTTAGGGTGCAGGATCTCCTGCACAAACCGGTAACCTACGTGCAACTAATAGGACAAACCTATGTTGAGAATGTGAGCAGAGGATCGCACGCCTCTCCCCTGGTGCAAGGCCCTCCCGACAACAGATTCTGCTTGTGACATCGGTCAGGCAGACATTAACGGGCGGAACACCTCTCAGAGTGTGGGCCGTCTCTCGATGTAGTCTGTCGGATTTCGGGTTTAGGGTTTACACAGAATGTACATATGACTATGTCTCTCGCTTTGCATTTCTATTCATCTAATTATATCTAGCTCTGCACCCACCAGCATGTAACTATGGACATACACAAAACACCTAGTAAACACATCTGCTTACACATGGCTTGGATTACGTACACAAGACTAGTATCACTTGCACAGACACATCTTCAATATCAATGCAGACGCAAACAGCCCACATTTAAGCGTTGGCCAAAGCTGTGATACAGCCACTCCAAACGCTAGATAACAGTAGATGGCATTAAGACCCGAGAGAATGCCGCCCCGCCGGGCCAAATCTTAACATCCATAGGACCCCGGCTCGTCAATCCGGGACTGTATCCTTGAAATCAAAAACCCTACACCCCCACGCCCCGGACCCTAAACTAAAACCCGAAACCCGAAATCCTAAAGCCTCAACCAAAACCCAACGCCCTAAACCCTCAACCGCCTTAACATAAATTTCTGGAGGTCAGAGACCCCAAAGCCAGAGGAAAAAGGACTCGAAACCGAAGTGAACCCTACTTGGAGGCCCACGGACTTAGTAAGTAGGCATAGATGGGGTTTTTAGTTGGGGTAACTCCATTTAGGGTACTTAGAACTCTACTTGTAACCTACTTACTAAACTCCAAGTCCCTTGGGCCTTTAAGTATGACACCCCTAACCCCAACGAGCCCCCGCAAAAAAAATGAGATATCGAAGACAAGTGCAACGGATAGCATGGGGTCCTGATTTAACAAGAATAGGGCTTTGTGGTACATTTTACAATGCTTATAAGAAGGACCCCAGGGGATAATCTTGGTAACTCAGGCCTCTATAACATTACGCTGAAGCCATACTGTGAACTTCTACAGCAGCCCGACCCCGATCTGGAGAAGCGTCCGCTGCTGCTCTGGGTTGCGGGGGAGATGCCAAGTAAATTTCTGCATGCTTTAGGGTTTATGGTTTAGGATTTAGGATCCAGTGAGGCTGGTCAGAGTTCAATGATTTCTTGGATGCAACTCCGCAGCCCAGGCTTAGCTAAGGAGAAAGAATGCACCATGGCAGGACAGACCCTGCTGTCCAAACTCCATAGCACCGAACTTTGCCGTGACTAGCTGTGCAGTCGCTTTTCCGCGCTCCACCGACTACCTGGGCACTACCGAGAGGGTTTGTAGCATACCCCTCTTTTTGGGTACCTACTGTCTACATAACAGGTCCTAACCATGGAACTAGGTACCCTAAAAACAGATATAGAGTATAACGGTCTAACTCTCTAGGCACGAACCCAGCATCACTTAGACTTGGAATCCTGGTCATCGTCTTCCGAGGGCGCCGTCGACTCTTTTTGCTGGCTCTCCGACCGGATCTTCTCGACCTTCGAATCGGAATCTGAAGCTCCAGGGCAGAAGGACAGGGCTTTTTGCCTCCTGCATGGGCGGGTCGCGAAGCAGGGTTGCAGAAAGATGGCGTTTAGGGTTCAGGGTTTAGGGTGTTCCGTAGTATTGGGCATTGCGATCTTTTTGGAGTCTCTGTCATGAGGATCCTACTATTTGAGGGCCTACGCATTAGGGCTTTTGCTGCTGCCCTTTGAAAAAGACTGCCTACTACATGGTTTAGGGTTTCGAGTTTAGGGTAAAATCGCTTGTTCCAGCCATGGCTCCACTTTCTCGACGTCCTTGGGGCCGAAGTATCGAGACATCGTCCACGACCTTCGCATTCCTCGGCATCTTGACGTCGGTAACTTGTTTAAGGATCAGGGTAATATTACCGTATGCGTTTATACGTTCACAGACGGACAGATAGATAAGCAGACAAATAGATTGATAGATGGAGAGGCAGATAGATGGATAGGCGGATGGATGCATGGAAGAATAAACAGATGTTCAGGTCAATGCTGTCATGTATGCAAAACAGCCCACACAGCCTGCGAACAGACATGTGACAGCAGCAAGCATGCTCATAAACGCAATGCTAACCGCCACAGTTACAGAGATCGATTGCCCTCAGGTTGTACTCCTTTGCCGTGTGTATGCAGAACAACACCCGAGGCCAGTTTCTACTAGCGGATACAGGGCATGTTCCATGTTTTTACGCAGGCTGTAACGAAGACGGGCAGACGGAAAATGCGATGCAGCAACTGTCGATTCAACAACAAGACTAGTGGATTATGGTTCTTTCTTTACTGTGGCCACAAAGCTACAAAACTTTCTCTCGCTTCGTTTGTGCTAGCACTGATTTTGTCATGTTCAAACCCAGCACAGCGAAATCAATTTGAAAACCGTTTGCAGCATAATGCTTGCTCTTGCTTTCAGTGCTGCATGCCTTGGCATCGTGATCAACATGACGATAGCCACGAATCACCACATTATCCGAAGCCGCACTACTTCGCACCACTCCACTGTTAACCTACCAGGAATTCGCCCGGTTGCTATGTCGTGGTCCATCGATAGCTAAGTTTCCACGATCCTGTCAGGCCATCCTTTGCGAGATTACGTAGTAGAAGTGCCTTAGCCTCTGTGACAGGAAGACAAGGGCCGTAGGAGGCTGCGACTGTACCGGGCGAGTCGCCCTTCAATATCGCTCGAAGGCCTTCGCTCGTAAAGGTACGACTTAACAGATGATGCTAAGTTCCCTTTTAGCTGCGGGCGAAGAGGCCTTGGCCTGATCACGTTTTAACTTTAAACCACAAGAAGTGCGAAGATAGCACGGCTGCCACGAGTTCAAAACTCCAGTCGAGCAGCTCGGTTCCAAAAGCCGCATGATCCCCTAACAGGGCTTTTCTTGTGTTTTGCGACTCAAGGGGCAAGCCCAGGATGAGGATTCAGAAGATGAGGTTCCAAACGGGATGGATGGGTTCAGGATTCCACCCCACAGGGGTGATGATGGCTTGTAAAGCAAGGCTTCGCGTTTTTTGGGGCGTTTGCGGGAGCTTCTATGGCTTTCTACGAAGATTGTCTGGTTTTCAGGAAGCCCATCGGCCCTGAGTCGGCCTCGTAGGCATTCTCCCTGTCGAGCTCCGGGCAGATGGTGTAAAGCTCATCCCGGGACTTCTCCTACCCAGACCACCGAAAGGATCTAGGAAGTGGATCCCCGAATTTGGGACCCTATACTCTACTAAAGGGTACTTTGTAGGAACCCCCCCTTAAGGGATCTACTTTTTGGATCCTCCCCGGGGTTTGGGTAGAGGTTTCGGCGTAGGTCGTGGCAGTTTTGGTTTCAAGCTCAGGGTATAAATCCATCCTAAAAGGCATGTAAGCAATCACAAAAAACAAAGCCCTTACGAGGAGCCCTTATGGTTAATTTCCTTTTGCCGAGGTTCCACTTGCACCTCGTGCAGCAGGGATGGGTAGACATACCAGCAGCGCCATTCACGGGCACGCATCATGTACTCCTCGAGGACTTCCTCAGGAAGCGACCTCGGGCGCGCAGATCCTAGAAGAAGACCTGTAATTCCAGAGCTTCGGGATTAGAAAGCTTGATGCTTAGGAGGTTTAGGATTTCAGCTGTAGGGTTCAAGTTCGCGGCTCTAGGGCTGTTTTGGCTCAACGATGGAAAACTTCGGAAAGCCGTGCTAGACAATCTGCAACATGACTCTCTCTACGGGGTTTTGAACCTCTAAGAGTCCAAGACTATGCCCCTACTTAGAGGTCCAGGGGACTTAGTAAGTAGGTTATAAGTAGAGTTATACGTACCCTGAATGGAGTTACCCCAATTATAACCCTACTTATAACCGACTTACTAAGTCCCCTGGGCCTCCAAGTACACCCTGAACCCCTACACTCCCAAACCCTTAAAAACCCTGCGACTGAAGCCCGAAAGCCTTCTGCGTTGCAGCCAGAAAGGCTCCAGATAGTCCATCAGAGCATCTCCTACCAGGGCCATGGGCCATTTGATCCTGAGAGTTCCGACTTGCCAGGGATAGGGTGTAGGGCTTATTTTTGTCCCTCCTAGGGTTTAGGGTTTAGGGCTGTAGGGTTTGGGGTTTTAGGGTTTAGGGTTGTATAGGGTTTAGGGCTTTAGGGTTGTAGGGTTTATTGGAGTTTAGGGTTAGGGCGAATTATGGGGTGTAGGGGTTCGACACGTACTCTCGAGCAAGGCAGGCAAGGCTCCATACAATCCCGGCACAACACAAGCAACAACTGAGATCCCCATTCGACATCAGGAGCCAGAACCGATCTATAATATGGCTGAACCCTAGACCCACAATCCTTTAATGGCCTTTTAGTATAAACCCCTATAAATCCTAAACCGGTTTAGGCTTCCGAGAAATCGTGCAGGTTTTGACGGCGGGTCGGCCTTTATACTCCCATCCTTTGCGAATCCTATCACGCCGCTAGGCTCTTGGACCCTGGCTGGCCGGAAAAGACTGAAGTCTAGACGAGCGAAGATGTAGTTGTTTTAGGACATTGAAGAGGGAAGGTAGACTTCCCACCAACGAAGTGCTTCATACAAAAAGTTGTGCCGAAATCAGCGAATCCAAGGATCACAAAGGACGGCAAATCCATGAAAGCCTGACATCTCGATTGCTGGGACTTAGCAATTAGGGCTAAAAGTAAGGTGACTACATGTATAATGACTTCTAACTCCAAATGATGCCCAACCAACATCCTCCAAGTAGGGAAGAACGTCTGGCTCGTGTGATTGAAGGCTTTGGGGTTCGCCCTTGTTGAGTTACGGTCTGGGGCATGCCTACCTAAGCCTTCAGTCCCTACCCTCTATTGAGCCCTTATCTCTAAACCCCGAGCCCTATAAACCCCAAACTCTACTCCCTAAGAGTTTACGGCTTTCGGCTTGCTGCTGTGAGCAGCTCAGGTCTAGCCTTCCTCTCTTCGGGCGCTAGGATTCACGGCTTGCAGCCTTTTGACGCTAACATCCGGGAAATGCCAGGCACGGTCTGAAGACGCGGTCTTCAGGGTTTCGAGGCCTCAAGAACTCGAACAAGGCAGGCAAGGATCCGCACAACTTTGGGTAGCACGGTGCTAGAAACACCAGCGAATGCTCAGAATGACAAGGCACCAGGAACCCCCGCAGCACTTGCATGAAGCTGATACAGATACGGGACAAGGTTGACCTCGCCATCAGCAGAGTGCTTTAAAAGCGCCTAGACCAGCTGGTAGCACAATTCGACAAGATCCAATCCTCCCGAGTCATAACACCAACAAAGGCCAGGCCTACCACTTACGATGCATGATATGAGTAGAGTCTCCAGAAAAGAGAAGATTCAACAAGAGCACCAGCACAGATGGAAGATCGACCCACATGCACAAGGCCATGACTCGGCCCGGGCTGGAGAATGGTGTATACATGGACCATGTTCACGGTTCTATGAAACAATTTGCGTCAACCAATCTGGGCCAAAGCATGTAGAAGCTCACCAGCAGTTCATGATTCACCCAGGCTAGCCTCGAAAGGCAACTCCCAGAAATCCGAGAGCACCACGGGAATGCAGTTTGCAAACCTCAGGCGACTTGTGGAGAGTTGCACAGGCCAGTTCGACTTATAATCGCGCCCTTGCTTCATGTCACTTGTCTGAAAAGATGGAAAACTCTCCAAGGCCTTGTCAACCGGAGCCCATCAATTCTTCACATCTTCTCGTCAGTCGAGCGACAATGCCTCGAAGAAGCGCAGCGACCACGCGGATTTACCTGCTCGGGGACGGTCGTGTGAGTTCCATCGCTGAGGGATCTCAGGTCTCATACTGCTATCGCGTGGTGTATCACGCTTTTACTTACCGACGACATAACCTATTGCTGTTGTGTTGGCCTGTTTCCGCAGTCTTGTCAGTCTTGCTTCTGTAATTATGAGTTGTCCGACTCTTCGCCAGGCCAGCGCTAGGCGGCCGTCATGCATCGGGGGCGAGCATTTCTGGCTTGGTTTCAGCGTGTGCGGGCGCCTGTTTCTGACTCGAGGCAGCATCCGCAACAGTGTCCATCCCGCTGCAAAGAAGCCCTGAAACCTAAACCCTAAAGGGCCAGTTCTGTGCAAGGTGGCAGCATCCACAGCGATGCCAGGGCAGGTTTTGTTTTTTTGCAGCTTCAAGAAATACCAGCTGCGGATATCTGTAGCAATTGTCTTTCGTGTTGTTTCTGGGCATATCATCCATTCATTACAGAATCGAAGCTGTCAAGCTATATTTCCATGACGCGAACCTTGAACACCCCCCCCATAACGGTAGTACCCGAAAACCCTGTAAGCCCTAACGCGGAACCCTGTAAAGTCCAACAACAACAACAACAAACCCTCCACCCTGAACCGTTAAGGCCTTTCGGAACGAAGCAGAACTTCGCCGTGCCCATGGCAGCATGCATCTCTGGGAAGCTCAAGTTCTGAGCCTCGAAAGTGCATCGGTTAAGGGTATGCCTTACTTCTGTTTTGTCTATATATAGAGTCTATACACACATACACAGACCGATGTAGAGACGTGTGTGTGTGTGTGTAGATGCATACATATATATATATATACATATACATACACATATACATATATGCATATATAATTAATGTTATATATGTGTGTGAACCTACGGGTGTATGGCGTCAGGGTTTAGGATTTTCATCTCGATTTTCAGCACTCACTCTCGGACATGCCTGGGCGAGGTTCCTGGTACGACGAAGCTCTTTGGCCATCTCGATTTTAGGGGTTGGGCTTCGGGGGATGGGATGCGAAACTTGAAAGGGACTGACCTCAGGGTGTTGAGGGTTATAGGTTCTATAGGTTCTGGGACAGAAGGGTCGAGGCCTTCCAGCATGCAGCTTTGAAACTCAACGACTTTGGGCAGAGACAAGACGAGGTAGGGGGGAATAGCTGGTTAGCAGGCGTTGACTGAGTCAGCTCAAGGCAAATGCCTCAAAGAAGCTACCCAGTTACTCGTCTGACAACATGGGTTCAGCACTGGTACTGATGAACTTGCCGACTGCTGTTTGCTCAGCTGGGATCGGGCACGATCCAACAAATTGTTTGAAGCAAATTCGGCTTGCTTCAATCACTATGCTAAACATGTATAAGCAAAGCCGTGCGACGACCTCGACTCGACTCCGTGCAGCATCTGATGCTAGGATTCTGCATCCGGAAACTCTTCACTATTTGCCATCAGGGGGCAACGTAGATTTTCCCCTCCTCCTTGAGTCTCCGTATAGCCTGGACAAGGTACCATGTAAGCACAGTAGCAACTCAGAAGTAGGCATGCTACCTGTTCGGCCAGAAGGCCATGCTGGTCCGTGTCAGCTTCCGAACCCCTCATGACGGAACTCCACTCAGGGGTCGGGACTTCGGTAAACAAAATACTCGAAGCAGATGTAGACTTAGACTGATTGGCTAAGCTAGCCCTCTCAGCGCGAGTCCGATCCAATATCCTCCCTTCCTGCCCCGATCATGTCAATTCAGTCGACACTTGTAGGAAACTTGCGCAAAGGTCAATGCTAGTGTGATTTCTGAAAACCACTACAAACTCTCAATCTTGTTCTACCTTTGCAACACATGCATGGAACTGTAGAAATGCTGAACCCGAAACCCACAAAATGCCTCGCATCTAAAAATGAAACTCCGAACGTACACCCCCACGCCACAACAAAAAACTCAAAACTCCTGAAACTGAAACTTTGAGTTTCAAGAGTCTTGAGATTTATATACATGTTCACTTGTGAAAAAGAAAGCTCCTAAACCCTCACAAAGGTACACCCCAGAACCCCTCAGTGACCGCTCCGAGCTGCGGCTCTGACGTCCGGACCTCCCTGGCTCGGGTGGGGACCACCTGGGCACTGTAGGGGCCCTAATAATTAGAATAGGGCTTTTGGGGTCCCTCATAATAGAATTACAAATTAGAATAGGGTTTTGGGGGTCCCTTATAGTAGAATTATGAATTCGAATAAGGTTTGGGGTCCCCTATAGTAGAATTGCAAATTCGAACAGGGTTTTGGGGGTCCCTTATAGTAGAACTATGAATTCGAACAGGGTTTTGGGGTCCCTCATAGTAGAATTACAAATTAGAATAGGATTTTGGGGGTCCCATATAGTAGAATTATGAATTCGAATAAGGTTTGGGGTCCCCTATAGTAGAATTGCAAATTCGAATAGGGTTTTGGGGGTCCCTTATAGTAGAACTATGAATTCGAACAGGGTTTTGGGGTCCCTCATAGTAGAATTACAAATTAGAATAGGATTTTGGGGTCCCATATAGTAGAATTATAATAAAGAGCCACCAAAATAAGAGAGGTAAGTATTAAGGCTACTTTATTAGCCGCCCAAGTCTTCAGTGGGAATCTCAAGGGTTAAGGGCTACACTATAAGGGGGGGGGTCGATATAGGGGCACTACAAGGGTTACTATCAGGGGTCCTTTAAGGGTTACCGGCCGTCTGTTGGGACCCTGATTACGATTTCTTTATGGACGGCCTTAAACGGGTCGGATATTTGGGGTTGAGGTCAGGGTTGCTCTATAAGGGGTACTTTAACGGGTGCGGCAGGGGTTACTATCCGGGGGGACTACAAGGCTGAGTGGCCATAAGGGGTACAATAGGGGCTCCAAGCCTGTGAACCCCCATCCCCACTCAGTCGGCGAATAACATCATTGACCGTTCAATCAACCTCATATGAACGTATAACACATATACTAGACTATAAGATGTATTGAAGTTGCATGAAAGCACTTTAGTCTGATAAACTAGTAGGATCTATCAGAATGTACAAATTATTCATGTCGAAACAGACTAAGACTTATGTGCAGTGCGATCTTCCCAAGACCGCGGCGAGAAGAATCGATCCGACCCAGGAAAACAGCGAAGCGCTTTCGCTCTGCAAGTGGGCGAGACCTTGGCTGGGGGTCTTGAACAAGCTGAGAACTATAGGCTGTAAGTTTTGGGGGTGGCGATTAAGACAAAACAACTCCTCTGCTGCACTAGGGATGTTCGGATGTCGGTTTTCGGACAAGCTATCAACAGCCAGCCCTGACGTCTGAACCCTATCTGGCCTCTGGTAGAGGGAAAGGATCTCGTGCTTGTGCAGATAGCCAGGAATGGCGATATCCCGCCATGTGTTGAAGCAGGGCTCTTTCCTCAGCTTCGACCGCGGTTTCGGGGTTGAATTCTATTTGTTGGCCTTTTCTGCTTTGGAGGGATCAGGATCAGGTTTTAGAGCTTCACCGTTTAGGGTTATGGTCTAATTAGTGGCCAGGTTTGCCACACCGACATTTATTAGCGCTGGCAACTTCGGGTGCGCCGACCCCCCCGCCAAACCACCGTGTAGGCTGTAGGGACTTGCGTGATGAGACCTGCGTGGGATTGTAATGCGGGTTGTCAGAAGGTTCCTTTAATGGCGTGTAAGACCCTTCGGGCCTACCAATCAAGAAGTTGTGAAGCTCATTAATTAAGCTTTGCGGAACTCCATAATTAAACCGCACGCAACCCAGAGGAGCCGAAGATGCGCCTAGAACAACCTTTGAAAGCCTCTACAAGTCCACACAAGTCCAAACCCTAAGAATCCAAGAACCTAATCATCACATACTCTCCCACATACTGCCCTACATTTCATTGCTACTATCCTCAACTGCAACACCAAACAACTAACTACTGGGCACTCTGACAGAAGAGACTCCAAAATGCCCTTCGAACCCTCGTAAAACCCTTGATGGTCTCTGGCCCCCGAACATCCCCCCAACCCTCCTAAAGCCTAAGCCCTGAAACCAAAACCGGGAAATTTACCCTTCAACCTTACCCAACAAAAACCTTCACCCCCGAAAGCCCCAAGACCCCAAACGCCCTGAACCCCTCAAAGCCCTGGAACCTTTCTAAAGCCGTAGTAAAGCCCTAGAGCCCTAAACCCCTACAAACCCTAAGCCCCCATGTTTTGAGCACAGGCTTGGATTGAAATCCTAAACCCCAAAAACAGCAAAGGCAAGAAAAGACCCGAAGCCGAGGCACATGTCCAGCACGTCGTTGAAGAGCCAGGTCTCCGGACTAAGCCTTCGGCTGCTTTTGCTTTTGTTGGGAAACCGCGGGGGTCGGGGGTGGGGGGGGGTTAAAGTTTAGGCTTCGCAGGGTATGGGTTTAAGGGCTTAAGTTTGGGTTTAGTGTTTGGGCTCGGACTTATAAACGTTTGCGGCTTATTTTAGGGTTTAAGTACCGCGGTTCTTTAAGGGCCTCAAGTTTCGCAGGGATTGGGGTTTGAGTCTTCAGGGTCTCAACGTTTAGGGTTCAGGGCTTTCAAGTTAAGAGCCCCGGCTCGCGTTTCATAAAGTTGTGTGACGTTTTCATCTTTAGACGGGCTGCAGACTGAACTTACGGCTGTGGGGCTCGAAGCTTAGGCGTTCGGTGCAAGGATGTTACAAGGGCTTGAGCTTTGTCATTATCAAGTTTTGGTCTCCGGGCTTAGCTTATATAGGGCTCTAAATGTAAGGCTTGTGCATTTTGTTTAGGGCTTCAGGGGCTGAACCTGGGGGACTGAGTGCTTTAAAGATACAAATACGTCTGGAACATACTCATGTTGAATGTTGCTGCATTAGAATGAGCAAGATGTTTAGCGCCCCGGCTTTGTCCGCCGAGCAACTGAATGCTCTCAGGTATTTCTTGGCGCCAAGATGGAAACACGTTGGCCTGACAGGGAGGAGGTGCATGCCCTCAGAGATTGCTTTCCATGTTTGGCTCTTGCGCACCTCTCTGTGCTATTGAAACGATGCCGACTACCGACCTAGTAATTGGACGATCTCACGCTGGGCTGGAAGACAAGTTCATTTGCTTCGTGCGGACATCCGGGAGCCCAGGTTCTCAAGTGAAATTGGAGAAGGCCAGTGCTAAATCAGCCCTCCAGATCCCGGACTTCTCTGTGCTGAGCGGCGGAAAGACCGGAGCCAAAGGTAAAGATATGGTCGCGCCCCCGATTCCGCCGAAAGTAGGGCAGTTGATCCAGCATCTTCTTATACCTTTCTCTTGCGGGCCACTGTTTCAATTCTACACCTGCGGCCCATGACATAAAGACTAACGCCTGTGCGCGGCGTCAAACATGAATTTTCAGATCCGGCTGCAAGGGCACAGAGATCTACTACTGCTGCACTTTGAAGAGGCACGATGATGCACTGCGTGGGGGGCTGCATCCTCCGCCCATGTATAGCTTATATGGTCCAGGGATATGCGTGACAGCGGCTCTCAATGATCAAACTTCAACTTTGTTTCGGATTTGGCGTGGGGGGTGTAGTGGGCAAAACAAGAGCTTCCAGGGACTGATTCCAGGGCTTGTAGGTGCGTAGAAGGGTCAAGGCTCTACTAGCATTAAAAGCAAACACGCCGATCATACCTGGAGACTCCAGAACCTTCATTCAACTTGATCTGACCAGGAACGCTACATCATAAACTGCAGGTAACCTACACGCTTAAAGCCCCAAGCCCGAAATCATCATACGCTGCAGGTAAATGTCATGTCGTCCAAGGCGGGGATGGGAAAGAAGCCGCCTTTGCAAGCGCAGGCAGGAAGAAGTGTCCCAGATCTTGTCAGCTCAAGCCCATTCTTCGACTCTCCAGTTCAGCCCTCTGGGCTTTTTATAGGGTTCAAGGATGTTCAAGGTTTATGGAGTTTAGGGTAACCTACGTAAGTTTCCATGTGCACGCATCAGTTTGCTTTTAAGTATACTATAACGATACCCCCGGGCCCAAGCTCTGAAACTCAAGCTGCAAAACCCCTCAGCCCAGTCCCTGCACCCTGGCCTTCGAACATACAGATGCTATAGGCTGGAACAAAGAAGAAGTCCGCCATCTCGGGATCTTTTGTCCTTGACTGGAACTTATTTCAGATGTTCAGGTGCCCACATGGGCAGCCCTTGCTGCGATGAAATCTGGGCTGGCTTAGGGTTTAGATGAACCCGAAATAATGTACTCAAAAGGAAACCGATATATGAAGCTACACAGATTCGGCGGCTTTGGGAACACGCTTGCGGTTTGGTGGCTCTACGTGTTTTCCGCTGCCTGAGCTTGGGTCACTCCTATCAGTTCAAGGTGCAAAGCACTCAGTACGTCTTTGAAGCCGGGCCCTGCAGCTGCAGCTATGTCTGCCCCTCCAACCCAGTCAAAGTACATGGCACCTAGACCTGGATTTATATCCTCCAGCCTAAACAAAACATCAACTGAGAGCTGAGCAAGTAGGGGCTGGCCAGCAGCCACTCGTGAATGTGGACCTTGTTGCGTCGGTCCAGAATTTAGAGTTTAGGACCTGAGCTTACAGCTAAGACGCTAAGAGGCTTGGAGCTTACGATGCAGGAGGCGTCTGATGGCCATGGGCTAGTGTGGACAGTATCTGAATAGCTATTCGCGAAGGAGGCTGGAATCATGTGCCGAAAAGGCAGCAAGGACCGCCTATAAGGCAAAACCATCGGTAAGACAGGAAGCATGCCTGCTGTGATGAGTACTAGACCTTGTCATTAGCTAGGTCACCTCGTTCCTCAGGGAATATTCATATCCGGTGCGCCTCCATCCCCCACTGGCCCTTGCCGCAGAAGGAGCCACCCTGAGAAAGCTCGCGCACCATCTCCTCGGATACAAGAGTTAACTTCAGAACCCGCAGCATCGCAGGACATCACAGGTGGCATTTTCACTTACCACGTGTAATCCCACCCCCTGAGGCTCCCATGTCCAGGTGCCTATAGATAGTATACACTTTAGGCCTTGCAGGGGTTCCTTTGTAGGTACTTTCAAGCCTAAGTATATACGAAATAGGTACATGAAGCCTAGACACAGAAGAGCATGTCTTCCCTCTCATCCCTGGCAGACTCAGAATGCGTTCCTACAGGCTCTTCTTGGGGTATCTATTTTCAGGACTAGAAAGGAAACCATAATATAGTGATCATAGACCCCTATTGTGGTAAGTTAACATAAATTCCTTATAACAAGAACCCAGGTCAGACAAGAGGCAATGTCGTGTTCGTAGACATAGATCGCCGGTCTCCTACCGGGATCCTGCAGGGGAAATTGGACATATACACTTTAGTTTAAGTGCTCGCGGACCATCTACAACACCAAGAAGGCAACCCTAAACCCTAAACCCCTAAGCCCTAAACCTAAACCAAGTCATAAACAATGTAAAAACCTAAAGCCGATCCAGCGCAGAAGCATCCTGAGCACAGCTTGTCCCAGGCAGTCCCAGGGTCAAAGCTCGAAGCTCTCTCCATCATTTCCCTTGCATCCGAATTCTAAACCTACCCTTTGGGCCTCTAAACTTACCCTGTTTTGAAGAACACCGCTTCCTACACCCAAATCAGGCAACCCTGAGCCCTCGAGAGCCGCTGATTTGGCCACCGATGGGGTCCTCTTTGCCCGGCCGCAGCCGACCCAGCAGCGCTCGGCGAAGGGCAGAGAGCCGCGCGTCTTTCACGAGCCAGTCGGACCTGTTGGGTTCCTTTCTGGTTGGTTATAAGTTCAGGGATTCGGGTGTACTTTAAGGGTTTCAGCGCTCACACTCGGAGAATCCAGGCGAGGCATGTGGTTTAAGGGTTTATAGGGTTCGGGTTTAGCGGTTTGGGGTTTCGGGGCTCACTCTCGGAAAAGGCTCAGGTTCTTGGTGCCAGGTCGGACGGAAATGAAACCTAGCTTCGGGGCTGCCCAACATAAGGTGTTTGGTTTAGGCTTTGGGGCTTAGGGGCTTCGGGCTTTGGGTTTCCCATACAGGTCCGGTTTAGGAAGTTGGGATTTTAGGGTTATGGGGGGCCCTATGACGATCTCGCAAGGTTCCTATAATGGCTCCGAGAAGAACTAACAAGTAACGTTTCGAGTCTCTCGCTCGGCAATGTTAGGAAAGGTTTCCAGGCTTTTGGAGTCAATAAACCAATTTAGGGGATGCAGCGTAAATAATTCCGATTAGCTCGTTGAAGGATACTTGAAGGAACCCCAATGATGAACGGTATAAAAATGTATGGTGCGGGTGCGTTTGGCTCCCGATTGTGGTTCGGGATTTAAGGCTTTTGAGTGGGGTCTTGGTAGATAAGACCCAATGGGGGAGCTTTGTTGGGCTAGATCATTGCTCATTTCCGTTGAGGATTTATCTTGAACTTTCGGATGCCTGGCTAAAGGGCTGCTTCATGTTGGAAGTGAGGGCTTTGTCGAGTGGTTGTTGGCCGCCTTTGATATCATCTGGTCGGCCTAGTTCGTCAAATAGAAACTGTCACTGTCGTCAAACAGAAATCACATCTGCTTAGCTTCATGACGAGTCCTTGTGTTCTGAGTTTAATACAGATAGTACACCACATGCTGCATCGGTTGTCATCTGCTCAAGATGCAAAATCTTGAACTTTAACCCATGGAGCACGAAGGGATTTGAACATGAATGCATTGACCTTAGCCGCCTGCACTTCTGAGCTATGTGAGATCGAGAACAACTGTCAGTTTAACTCACAGTCTGGATTTCATCGTGGTGATGCAGGCTGGAATCGCTGGTAATCGCTAGTGCCACTTCACCTGCGATGCGGCCTGCTGCGATCGGATGTACAAGGTTCTGAGGGTCTGCCGGCATTATGATAGCTTCCGCTCGGTGACCCCAACCAGCACTAACAGCGCGGCATTACCTTGTCCCTATGTCAGTGTACTATAGAATATACCCCCAGTTCGGAAGGAGGTTCTCTTTAAGAAGCCGGACCTGTGTGCCACGTCTTCGGGGTCTACGCTCTCACAACTCCGGCAAGCCAGGCGAGGTTGCTTGGGTGCAGGTCGGTGTGACACAGATCCCAGAGCCTTCCTCAAGCGACTATTCACTCAGATGGGAAAAAGTGGGAAATTCAACAGAAAGGGGAAAACGTCTTGGGCGTTAGGGTTTAGGGTTCAGCGTCCCGCTCATGTTTCAAGCTCCTACATTTTCTGGGACAAGCAAGGCCACGCCTGTCGAGGAGGTGTGGGTGAATGCCGCTGGAGAAAGCATCCAGCTGCGAGTAATACTGCCGCGCTAAGGTGAGATGCGGCTTCGTGGACTCGATGAGGTATTTCCTGAAACTTTCGAAGCTGCGAACGTGTACCGTTCGCTTCCACTGCAAACTAAGCCAAAAAAGGGCCATTTGCTTCAGGCTCCTTCGCCACCCTAAACTCTAAAGCGCTAAACTAAACCCTAAAGCCCCAAACCCGGATCCAGGTTCTGTTGAGGCCTTAAAGTCAGTGAACAGCCATACTCTGGCCTTGGGCTTCTGCATATCCGGCATATCCTTCGTGAATCTCGGCCACACCAACAAAGGAGTTTTGGGTCATAAGCAATCAACAGACCAGGAGGTACGATCGCACAAACGCATGTGTACATATTTGTGTATATGCATATATATATACACACACACACTCTCTCATATTATGCCTAATCTCCGTGATGAACACTGGGTCTCATGGCATTCGCAACCAGAACCCGTCACGATCAGCAACACATATGACAGGCTCTCAATGTGAGAGCCTACAAAAACGGTGACCAATCTTTCTCCAAGCTTCACGAAGAAAAAGTACACGGCCACGACTCCGAAAACGCAGTGTGTCGCCTCAGCTTCGTCCCCCCGAGGCGATGTTTGCTCGAGTGCCTTCAACTTAACCTATAGCACAGGACCCTGCATGTTTACAGCAAGCTTTCGAGGTGCCCTATCAACTTGATATTCCCCCGTCTTCGACCAGCGAAAGCAGATTCTAAGACTAGCATGCCTTGGTGCATGCACACCGTTGCCGCTCAGTTAACCATCAGCTGAGGGGCCCCAAAATCCAGTTCGTGCGGATTCTCCAATCGAGTCATCAGAGGCCCGATCGCCGCCATGCTCTCTGGAAAAGGGATCTGGAGCAGCTGGAACCTGTTTAAGGGTGACTTCTTACCAAAGTCCAGAAGTTTGGGGTCTAGATGGTTTTATATTTTAGGGTACAGAAACAACGAGATTTTGGGTTGGAGTGTGACATGCTGCGGGCAGCTACTTGGCAACGGACCGAGCCCCTCCCTGATACTGCCAGGCTTTCGAATGATGCTTTGCAGAGTGCCCGGGGTGTAAGCTAGGTCTCTTGCTCTCGTCGCGGACTTTGTATGTATTTGCTTTTGCCCTTCTTTCTGAGTGTGCTCCTTTCTTCGCTCTCTCTCTCTCTCTCTCGCACTTCGCACGATGGTACAGGGCCCAGCCCTTTCTAAATCCCCACACGCTTACGTAAACATCCGATATCCTGCTGGTCCTGCTTCCCCAAAGTCAACTCGCAAGAACAAGTGGAAATTCCATGAGCATTCAGCCCTCGAAGGCCAGTTTTGTCCAAGCCACCGCACAACATCCCAATCGATTCCCTCACTGGTGTTGGCGGTCCTTTCGCAGTTGGGATCATTCCAAATCCTGCGCGAAGGCTGCAGCAGCCCACCAATCAGCACGAAATGTACCCTAAACTTGATGCCCGAGTATATGGGCCGGGGAAAGAAAAGATGGGATTCGTGATGCCTGCTCGATGCGACTACAGTGCATAGAGACTCCGCTAGGCTTCTTGGAGGAGAACTACCTGAAAGAAGGCAACACATAACGCCGATTTTACAGGAGCCGCAGGTCAGAAGCCACAGGTGCCCTAAGTCACCAACTTGAGGCTGGAGGTTCAGGGTCGGCACACTTTCTCGTTGAAAAGCCAGGCAACGACTGTGACGCTGGTCAAGGGAGCATAGGGATTATAGGCTTCAGGGATTCACGGGACATCGTACACCTTGCACAGAAGAGCTCTCGAATGACATGAAACAGACCTGTGCGTTGACTATGGGTGGGCTCACATCTTATCGTGAAAAGGTATTGTTTCAGACACGACGCAAAGCTTCTAGACGTAAAGGTCAGACAGTCTAGTTTTCCATTTAACTGCAAGACGAGTCTCCTAAGGAACAGTATTGATAAATACGTAAATCCTGTCTTATGTACACATATGTATGTATGTGTA